TCTCCGACACTCTCCGACACTCGCGAACGCTTGCGAACGCTTGCGGACGCTTGCAGACGCTTGCGGACGCTTGCGGACGCTTGCGGACGCTTGCGGACGCTTGCGAACGCTTGCGGAGGCTTGGCGAACATAAACGCAACGACCTCGCGTCGCCTCCTGGACCCCTGGACCCCAACCTTAAAACGGGAACCCTTCTGCTACGCATTCGGGAAAAAAAGAAAACGAAGCTGAGTTCAGGCTGCATGATGATCTGGAGCCCCAACCCGCAAACCAAGAAGCGAAAGTGGCATTCTCGGCAGAACCCAAACTCGTAAGCATGGCCCAAGGTTGCTGGCCATGACTTTGCCCGCTGCCCTGGGCGGCGTTGCCGAAGAACTGCAGTTCCAGGCATGGGGTGTCCAAGACGTTCACAAAATTTATGGACTTTCATTTGCGTTGGGAGTGTGTAAGAGGTCTGCACGCTGATGGCTGGCCAGATCGGGCCGGCTGAGACAGCTGCTTTCTCGCTTGCCGCATGGCAGAGCCATGCTTTGGCCATGTTTTGGACAGCCTGGCAGTCTTCACTTGAAAGCATTGCCATGCTTTTGAACGCTTGAGGTTATGACTTTGCTCTTCGCGGGCTTCCTGTATACTGCAGCCCTTGGCGATGCTGTTGGAATACGAATGTCGCGGCGTCTGGGACAAGGCTCGGATTTTCTTAGCCTCAGGCCTTGACCGGTGTCTCCGATCTGCGAGGACAGCCCAAAGAGGCGGCCTTTGTTGCCAACCTGGGAGTTCTGGTTGCTTGCATTACTAAAGTACTAGAAGTGGTCACTTCTAGTGACTTGTGGAGTGGATCGCAGTCTTTCAAAGCCCAGGCTGCATTGGCCGGCAACGTGGCGATGGCAGCTGTTTGCACGGCAGTCGCGGCCCTGTTAGAGCTGTGAGGATGCGCATGGCATGTCATTGTCTCGCTTCTGAGTTCATGAACTGGTTTGTGAAGCTGGCCTCTCCTGACCCCGTGGTGCAGCAGCTCATGTTGCAGCGGGCCTGAACTTAATGTGCCGTTACGTCATCGGGAAGTTGTCTGTTGACGCAGCAGCTTTTCCTGTCAGTGAGAGCTATGGGCCAGACGCAAGTGCGGTCTTTGCTGCTGCGCCCAGGAGTTTGCGATGGGCAGGCATCTTTGGGATGACGCTGTATCTGCGCATGCCACACTTTGTTTCCATCAGCAGCTTTGCTGACGTCGCAAGCATGCCCAATCTTTGGAGCTAGAACTGCCAGGTGCCGTTACCATTTCCATGCTTGGCGTCGTGATCCCATTGATTTGCGTGCTCAGCAAGCAGGGACCGCTGTGGTCTGCTATGCTGGAGTTTTGTAGCCGAGGGCTGAGGAGAGACGTGTCATGGGTGCAGATATCTCTTCAATCCATGGTGAGTGCGAGAACTCTGTAGTCACATGTAGTGACCATCACCATCCAATTGCAGTTCTTCCAGGCTCGGATGGAATTGTCTGCACAGTCCTGATGCCTGTGCCGCTGCCACTGCGCAGGACGGGCAAAGATCCCTTCCGCCATTCTACCAGCAGCTTGGCCCGAAACTGCCGCAGAACTCAGCCAAAAAGCTTTTGTACCGGTTGCTCATGTTTCTGCCTGAGATTTGCTGCTGGATTCTCGGCTTCCCTTGTAGCTACTTCCTCGGCCGGGCAGAAGGCCAATGCATTCAGTTAAGCACACGTGTGCGGCCTTGGCAAGTCCTGCGCCAGGGCTGCTGGGGATCTGTGAGGGCCTGATGATCGGCTACGGGCTTGTATCCTGGCCTAAGAAAAGCAAATCATTCGAGCAAAACTGCTTCATCTACACACGTCGTAGCTAGTTGTACTCCATGTACTCCTACGTGGACCTGCGGCGAACAGAGCTCCTTAGTCTTGGCTGAGCAGCTCCGTCTGATGCAACGAGTTGTGAAGCAGACTCTGCAGAGCACAGGCTATGGTGTGGCTCTTCTTCTTCTACTTCCGTTCTGACTGGGAGCAGCTGGCGCGGGATGCGGTGGAGCGGGCTGAAGTTCAGACCCCTCAATCTCAACCGTGAGCCTTCTGCAACACCCTGTATCTCCTCGGTCTCCTGTCTGCCTGCAGAGCAGGCCAGCAGCGTGTTAATGCTTCCGAGCCCTCCGTGGCGTAATAGTAACGTTGCGGCATGCGTCGTGACTGCGGTGAAGAAAGGGAGAGAGCATAAAGAAGCGAAGCCTGATTGTCGGCCTCACGTCAGCCACCGATCATGTTGAAAGCTTCAGGCTACGGGCAGAGAACCGCAAGTTCACAAACCGACTATGTGGACTCCAATTAGAGGCCACGCGACTGAAGGGCACAAACCGACTCTTCCAGCATGTTCCCGCCTTGCATGCAGCTGGCGTCACAGGTGGAGAGCCGAAGCAATGCCTTCGACACCTTCAGCTGGGTGACAGAGGTGGCTGAACTAGCAAGCCTGCCATAGCCTACCTGTTCTTGGATGCTCTATGGGGAAAGTTGACATACCTACAGCGATCAAATGCAAGCATTGCCAGTACAGAAGCTCTAAACATGTTCCATGCTCGCTGACCCGGCCTCACATCCAGGCCAGAAGGACGCACTCCGGCAAGGGGTTCCCTCAGGGGAGATGCGCAACCTCACGGCCAACGGGTGTGAGCCACCAATCCCCTCGCTGCAACCCCTAAACCATGGCTCAGCCACCCTGAGATGCCACGCACAAATCGACACGGCAAAGTCCATCCTCTTCAAACTGCTCTCTGGCTTCCGGCAAGCTCCATGACATGGTGCAGCACCACCCGTCAAACCACAACCGCGATTCTGATGTCCACCAGCTTTGACTCCCACCTTGAAGGCGGCTTTACTGGCTTGCAAGGCCAAGGGAACAAGCTCCCCTTATGCAGGGGTAAACGAAGGGGTGCGGCGCAAAGGTAGACAACCCCATGAGCCTTTGACAAGGTTCGTCTAAGGGGCTCAATCCCGCTTTTCCTTCGTCAAGGTTCGTCAAGGGTTCTGCTTGCTTGACAAGGTTCGTCAAGGGTGCTCTCGGGGTCCGCCCATCCGGGGGTCCCCTCGGTTTGCGCCCTACTTATGTCAATCTCCTGGCACACCAGGCCCAACTTGACCAAGGCCCACCCCTTACCCAACCTCACATCCATTCCATGTCACTGAGCGCAAGGATGGCAAGAAGTCTTAAGGGCTTCTGGACCAAGCAGAGCTATTTCCTACTTCATGTCAGGCCGCACAGACGGAAGCGCCGCGCTTCTGTCGCCTCGTGGCTCTCCGCGCCTACGACCGGGCAGCTCGGGCCCCGGTGTGGTACCTGAAGGGCACTGGGTGTTGCCTAACAGCCTCAGGATCATGATTATCATTCATCGGGGGGGAAGACAGGTGTTCAGAGCATTTGAACAAGTTGGAGCAACTTGCAGGGACGTTAGTACATGTAGTTGCTGTCAGGTGTCCTTGTTACCAGTGCTGGTGGCTGTGGACTTAGATGCCGCGCTGCAAGGATTGCGCTGCGTATGCATGAATGTGCAGCAGGTTCACTCGCTCCTCTGTCAGAAGCTGCGCCCCTACCTTCGGGCAAGGCGCTTCTGGGGTGCAAGGTGCAGCTCGTTTAGTTTTCTCCAATGACAGGTGGCCACTTCTGCGATTCTTGGCAGTGTCGCTGCCCTCCCCACAGAAGCGAGAGTTCGCGTTGGGCTCCCAGGCATCCAAACATTTTAGCAAAGGGGTGTTGCAGCACAGCCCAGGAGCAAGAGAGTCTTGCTGCAGCATATCTTGGAGCTCTCCAAGCCGACTGGCGAGGTCCTTGCAACCTGAGGGCTGTGGGTCGAAGGTTTCATCTTCAAAAAGAACAATTGCCTGGTACATAAAAAGACAAGGTCCACACAAAGAACACTAAGGCAACCTTGTGCCGGAGCCCCTGCGTCCCCTGCAATGTAGACCTCACAACTATCAACCACCCTGCAATCATGAAGTTTAAGGCCCGGAAATTCCAGCCCCAAATCAAGTTGTTTCGAGGCAGCTAGTACCAGAAGCTTCCAGATAGAGGGTGTCATTTATTGAACGGGGACGGTCCCCACAAAAAGGGTCAATCAACTGGAAGTTGTTATGGCGAGGTGAGCATTAGTTACCATCCTAAACAATCACCACAACCCGACTGCCAGGTGCTAACATGCCCGCGCGTTTGTGTCGGCTACAAGGCTGAGACAGTTGCGTGCTCAGAGGAGGTTTCTGAAAATGCTGCGCCTTTGCTGGGGATTCTCATAGCAGATATAGCAGGGGTCCGAACATTCCGCAGCAGACCCCGGACCCCGAGGACCCCGAACATCCTAACTCTATCTTAGAGAAATACCTAACTGGCTTCGCTGGACTGGCAATGCGGCACCTGGGGATTAGGTCGTCGCCTTGGGCAAGGGCCGAAGCTGCGTCTCGTCGAAGCTTTCTGTCGAGCGGCCGCTTAGCTTGCTGCAGGCGCCCAGCCAAAGCAGATTTAGCAAGCCTGGCATTTTGCAGCAAGCTGTGTGCCCAAAGAAGAACTGGGCAGGCTCCTGGGCCTCTCTCCCGGATCCAGCGCCGCGTGCGGGAGCCTAGACTAACCCTGAAGTGAAACTGGATTACGCACATCTGGCTGCCCGGATGTCACCAGCGAGCAACTGTGACCTGGAGCATCACGGTCAGAAGTGGCGTAATTGTACACTGATGTTTACTAGAGGTGCTGTCAGCACTGCTGCCCATGAGCTGCCTACCTTACGTACGCAGCTCCCTGCGTGGTGCGGCCCAGGACATGCCTGTGTTTCTGCTTCAGAAAATGATGGCACAGGAAGTTTTTGATCTGGAGGACTGGATCATGGGCTTCCTTCTTGCCTGGGGGAAGGCCTGGGCACAGCTTTGCGAGTTGGGCAAGGTTGGCGGCAGAGCCAAACCTGGCTTCTTGGGAGGTTGCCGCTTTCAGGCTGCAGCTTTTGCCACTCCCATGAGAGGCGCACCACCTTTGTTCAGCTTCTTGCTTAGCCGGCAAGCCTACCACACTTCACGCCAGGCCATTGATCGGAGTCTGTGAGGGCTGCACCCGCACAACAGGGTTGGTCATTTGGCAAGTAGAACAAAACACGTGTAAGTAAACGACTTGGGAAGAGAGATGCATTCAGAGTTCGAACATGGGCAGCAAATGGCTTATGCCATCCTCCACAACTCCCATAAGTCACCCATAATAGCGTAAATCGGAAGCCTTCGCTTTCACCTTCCCTTTCAGATCGACCTGTTGTGAAGGCGTCTGACAGGGCATGAAAGCCATCTGCATCTGTTCAAGTGCGGAAATAGCTGTATACAGGCCGAGACGGGCAAGACACAGGCCCCCACCCAACCCAAAGCACCCCTACCACGGCTCCCTCCTGACCCAGAGAGCTGTAGGATCCGATGGCCGGCTGGTCCCGCATGCGAACAGAGCATCAGACGACGCTTGACCTGTTCCTGCATGGGATAGGGGAGAGTGATCGAAAAGACTGCGTGTAAGGCAAGGAGGCATTTACAGAGGTGTAGACATGGTGCAGCTGCTCAGCTGCCTGTATGTGCACCTGACACTGGTGAGAGCGGCTCAGAGCCCCGGGTCCTTTCTGGCGGCTAGGAGATCCTCGGAACCGAAAGCTCCTGTCTCTCTAAGAATAACAGCTGCCCAATGCTGTCCAGTATCATCTGAGCTCATGGGTGGCAGCTGCGGCTTGCACGGCATGGCAGAGTGCGAAGCCAAGCTTTCTCATAGCAGAGGTTTTCGTGTTATCACGAGGCTTTGTTTTTGCAGGCTTTGCAAGCCCAAGATGCCTCGTGCGTCTGGCCAACTTATCGTCTAATTCTTCAAGTGCAAAGGCGGGGGACAGACCAAAAACGGTAGGCTAACGACTGACTGCAATGACAGAAAGCCTGAACAACAAGATAGGACCCTGTCTTGCCCCAATCAACTTTGCTTGGCGGCCTTGTAGCTTGCAGGGCGTCACATGGCGCTGGCATCTCGTGATGGTCGAGTTAGTTTCATGCACGTTGCCAAGTTCGCCTTTCTTCATCTGAAAATTGAATTTTGTGAACATGAAATACAATATGTTTTCTTAGGTCACACCCACTGTGCATGTGCTGACCAATTGCGAGCATTTTGCCGTGAGACAGGCCGTGTGTGTTGATGTTTCTGAGCTGCGTCTGCAAAACTTGCTTGGCTATCTAGGCTCTGCAGGACAAACAAGATCGTGGGAGCCTCAGCTTTCTGGGCAATATCAGGGTCCTCCCGGCCTTACGCTCACAAAGCAAGAAATTTCCAGGTTTCAAGGCCACCCTTCGGTCATTAGCAGTGGGTTTGAGCACAGCGCTGGTGCAAGAGCCTTGCTTGACACATAGTCATAGTCCCCAACATCGTTCAAAGCCAAAGCCTTGATCCCTAAACCTTGAACATGAAGATCAGCATGTAAAGGCTCCCGGCGTCCTAGCAGAATGCGTCGGCCGAAATTCACGGCTACGGAACCAATCCGCCAGGTAGGCTCATGGCAAGTAGCTTTCATAGGAAGCTGCTGTCTAAAGCAAGCTTCCAGCAAGTCCTAGAGCGGACTACCTGTGTCTGCTCTGAACTGGCTGCCGGGGCTGTGACGGACAAGGTGATGACAGACTAATGACTCCACAGCAGGTGCCCGTACTTTTTGGCCCGATACAAATGTCATCACTTGCTAAATGTTTGATCATTAAAGTTTTCCGCAGCTTGTATCGCAGGCATCGGCCGATACGAGAGTTGCAAACGAAGGTAAAAGACTAAGGTAGAGATTTACATCCATCAGAAAGTGTGCAAGCATCAGCTCACCGGACACGTCACCAACAGTGCAGATGCTCACTGTGAAAAACGCCCGTGCAGACTGCAGGGTTAGGCAGCGCCAGGCGCAGCAAGCAGGCTCTCCACATTCAGCATGAGGTGCCCCTTTGTCCCGGTGATAACGCAATCCATGGCAGGGTCATACATACTGCTCTGCTTGAAGACCAACTCAGATGTGGTTTGAATGAATAGAGGCAGCAAATTGGTTGCCTCGCCAGCTTTTGAGCTCAAAGCTCGTTCGGAGCAGGTTCTGAGATACCGCCTTCGCATGGTTCAGCTTTTTTGCAGTGCTGGCATTCTTCTGCCACCACGAATGGTCAGTAGCAACACCCATGACAGCTGAGCTTGAAATCAATCTTGTGTTCAAAGTAACGGCAGCCATGTGGCTTGGAGATCCCTAAAACCGCAAAACAATTGCCTCTCTAGGTGTAGCAGCTCCCCAGAATGCTATGAGCTGATGGGTGGCAGCTGCAGCGTCTACGGTACCGCAGAGTGGCAAGCCAAGATCTCTCAACCATAGCCGCCATAGCTCACCGTACAGTAGCTCCTCTGAAACGTTACAAAGCGGCCTGTTGTAAGATTGTTGTGAGGTGTCGGAGGTGCATCAATGCAGAGTCTGGCCTCCCGGTGGTGAATGCCAGGCGGCGCTTCAAAGTTCAAGACGTACTCAGCGTAGAAAGTTCTTCGCAGGCTACTCGAGGCTGCTCGCCAAGGAGATTTGGAGGCGCCTTCCTCCTAGGAGGATGTTTATGAAAGCCCTCTTTCCCTCAAAAGGCTGAAGCTTTTGTCGGCAAGATTTCCCAAGCTTGCTCAGCAAGATAGGAATTTGCTTGTAGGCTTGTAGGTGGCGATCAAAAATGCTTTGCCGTTTCGGCTGTGTGCCAGCAGTATTGACGGCCATGTTTCTACCATGGCACCACAACTGCACCCAAAAGTCAGAACCTGCAGCCATACTTCGCAACTTAAGCAGTCGAAGGGAAGTGCTGAAGCAAGTTTTCGAGCGCATAGGCGCACAGCATTGCCTTAGCGGCCTTCGCTTCTTGGAGCCATGGAGCCAGATGTCGCCTCACCGCCGCAAGTTGAAGGCATCGCAAGCAAGTGCACCGCTTCAGAGGCATTCTAATAATGGATTTTGAAAGCAGAGTAGCTGCAGAGTAGCTATTCAGCTTGCGTTCAAGATTAGTTGCTCTGGAGTCTTAGAGACACTGGAGGGCAGTTTGGCAACAAGCCCTGATTGCCGAACATGCTTGCTCTTTTATCAGCAGCTGCATGAGATTCCTGGCCTTAGTTTGGCTCAAGCTTGAGCAGTCCAGAAACTGCTCAACGGCCTAGCTCAGGGGTCTGGCTGTTTCGCTTGGAGGAGCCCAAGTTGATGAGCCGCAAGCTTGCAAGCTTGTCAGAAGCGCCAGACCCAGGTTTCAACCATCGGCAGCCATGGTGTCTGATGTATTGCGAGTATCACGGCGGATACCTTCGGACGAAAAAAAAGACTCCTTCACGATAGCAGCATGAGTAGCCAAGTCACACTCAGACATCGGTGGCACGAAGCGTTACATCGGTGGCACAAAGCCTTCACAGGCTACGAGGATGTGGCAATGGAGTTGCGGCATCCATGGCAGGCATAGCTGTACTAGTAGATCTCGGTAGCAGGCGCCTGGACTAGAACCTGCTCCGTGCGTTGCCGTGAAGTTCGTCTTGTTCCATGACATGATGCGGTGACGTCTAATTACTTTTGACACGTCCAGACGCTTGTGGTTTCTCGAGAACACGAATGGCTACTGTCTTGGTCTTGCAGGTTCGCAAGACATCCGCACATGGCTGACTCCTGACCAGAGATGATTCTCGGGTCCTTTTTTTTAAATCCTGGACAGCTGGAGTTGCAGGGAGATGGGAACCACCACAGTGCCAACTGGAAGAGAAGCGGCTGAGCCTGAGCTGAGGGCCTTGCCCCTTCTATCAGCCCCCCGAATGGTCAATGTGACATGGACAAAGCTCTGAAACACAGCTGCTCGTATCAGGTTTAAGTTGCAGTTATCTTCCAAGAAATTGCGTCCTAAACGTTTCGTGCACAGAAATTGTCCAGTTTAGCGATGGATCTGTGACTACGGAGGAAGCACTGCTTTGACGAGGCAGCTCCACGGTTCCACCAACAATCTACGAGACAAGTCCAAGCGTACCTCTGCAAGCGCGTGGCTTGCTTTGCTTCTTACCTTGCTGTGCTGGGAGACGCTGAAGGATGCCTTCTAATTGTTCAAACTTTAATTCCCCTAAATCTGAGTGTTCGTGGAGAGAAGCTGGAGTTGGTTGATCCCAGGCTGGGCTACAAAGAGCCGGAATGCCGCAAGCAGACATCTGCCCAGCCTAGGACATTCTTGAAGCGCGAGAGTGATGCTGGACGTTCTTTATTGAAACGGCCCTCTTCTTGTGTTTTTGCCACCTGTTAAAGAGGACCAGGCCAATGATACCCTTTAAATCAATCCCCATGGCCCTCAGAAAGATGGGAGGCTTCAAGAAGGCCCAAGTTTCTTTTTGTTATCGATGTTGGGTGGGAAGCAAAGATGAAACAGGCGCACACTACTCCTGACAGTAAAAGGCGGCGAGAAGAAGCCGCAGAGAAACAGGTCTGCCCGACCTCGCTAGTTACCTTCCATGGTGCAGGTTTTGCACAGGGCATCGGCGCCAGCGTCACGCAGGTGGTCACTGCCCCCCGGGCTTGTTATGCAAGGTTTGAACAGATCCTCTCCAAGCTGCTCTTTGTCCGATTGTTCCCACCGAACCTCTTCCAAAGCCCCTTTCCTATGTAACTCCAGCATTTTCCCATCAAGATCCCCACATAGCCGCCATAGCCAAAACATTCAAGGCCGCACACCTTACGCCGCCACCCACGGGTGGAGAGTACTGGCTGCTTGGCGTTGGAGACTCAGTTGGCCAACCTCCTCAGCCTGGCAGTGGAGGTAGAAGCCGACATGGTCAGCACTCGCCCCATATTGTTCAAGGTTTCGGAGAGTTGAAGGCTAAAGGTGCCGTTATCATGCTCGCAGCCATGGAGAAAGCTTCATGTGCTCAGAAAAAGGCGGAAGACGGCACTCTCGCCCTTCTCCCAGTGCCAGAAGACAAGATCCTTCTGCAGCAGCAACAGTCCTCATCCAGCCATGGTTGTGTTCCTGTGGCCCACCATGAAGTTGGCATCACGATCATGAAGAATCGAGGATGTTGGGTAGGCTAAAGTCTTCAATTCCAGATGTTTTCAGACGAATGGCCTCAACATGGCATCCTACGATGTATGTGGCAGGCAACTGCCTGAGGCCGCAGGCTAAGGCTTAGACTTGAAGGGCCCCACATGGAACGGAGAATTCTGGGGTAAACGCAGGAGGTGGCCCAAAGGTCATGCTGCCAGGCACAGCTTTGTAAACCTTCTTCCCTTCGTCCAAGTCACCTTCCTTTGCTAAGATTCGTTCCGGGATTGTCGGGTTCACAAGGTTCGTCCAAGGTCTGTTGGTGACCAACCCATTCAGACCCCCCTTTTTGTTTGCCACCTGAGAATGGCACTTGACCCGGACAAATTGCGACGCCAAGTTGAGGCTAACACACGAAATCTTTTTTGAAGAGGGCTTCAGGAACAAGACGAATGCATCTTCCTGCATTGAACGCTGAAGTGGTGACGTCCTTGGAACCTATGCCCGATGCGGCCAAGTGGATCTGCAGCGGGCGTTTCGGTGAGGCCAAGTGCACTTCGCGCGTCGGGGAGCGCAGCCCTCGACCCAGCGCATACGTACACCTGAGACAACAGCTCCTGAAGCAGGCATGAAAAACGGTTGGATCAAGGTCCTGCCAGGCGTTGAAGTGTGCGGCCAAACCCGCATGGAGCTTGCGGGGTGTCACGTGGCGCTGGCATCTCTTGTTGGTCGAGTTAGTTTCATGCACTTGGCCACGTTCTCCTTTCTTCATCTGAAAATTGAATTTTGTTAACATGAATACAATATGTTTTCGTATGTGACGCCGAACCAGAAAAGGTCGAAGGGAGAATTTAGCTTCACACATCCGAAGCCGACATGAGACATGCCTTTCTGTATAGGGAGCGTTGAGATCGAAAGGTAGAAGGGTTGCCGGACTCTGAGCTTGACGTGCTCGTCCAATCCAAGGTTTGCCTTGCTGTGGCTGGCACCCTCGCGGCCGCCTGAGCAATACCGGATGAGACCAGCACTCCCAATGCTGAGCCCATTCGTCAAAGGCATTTCGCATTTGCCTTGAGGTGGGAACGATCGGCAAGCAGATGATCCGCCGCGCGGAGATGTACAAGCAGGCCAGCCGCTGTGCCAGTGTGCATGTGCTGGCTTGATGTTTCTGACCTGCGTCTGCAAAACTTGCTTGGCTATCTTGGCTCTGCAGGACAAACAAGACCGTGGGAGCCTCAGCCACAGCCACAATACCATGTCATTATTATCTTCCTGGAGACACGGCTCCACTGTCCCCAGACCATGGGGCCGGGGGCAGTTGATGAAACATTGCTGCAGGCGAAAGCACCATCCTCTTCTATGTAGGCTGGGGTCTGAGTTCACAGTCACTGCTGAGCAACTACTTTAAGTGACCAGTTCAGTTCCTAACGGAGTGGTACAAGTTTCTCAAATTTCCGCGATGATCTTTGTGATCTCATGTCACAAATGCAGGGCTGAGAAGCCCACAACTGGATTCTCTGCCATGACTGCTCAGCTATGTGCGCTTCTTTCCTTCAACTTCAAGTTGTGGCTGACGTCGACTTACGCTTGCGCACATCAATGCAGTACCTCAAGGTCGCTATGTGCAGAGCTGTAGGTCAAAGTGCAGACTGATATGCTCCGCACAAACAGCCATGCAGAAACTCCAGGCAGCTGTTCAGGGCTTGGGCTTCAAGCTCTTTAGCACCCCCGCTCGCTGCTCCACACTCGTTTGCTGAAAGAGGGATTGCTTGGTTCCGGGATGTTCGCGCTAGGAGAGCCTTGAATATCAGTGATTTGGCTGGGTCCCGTAAATGACCCTCGATGGCTGTAATTGTGTAAACTGCTGGGCTGTTGACTTCGCGTGGCAAACTGCCAAGGTTTGATGCTGCAGGTCGCCTTGAATCCTCTTTGCGACATGGCGGGCTACGCTCTAGTGCCTCAGCGGCAAAGGCATAAGCAGCCGATGCGTTGCATTGTTGCTGCCAGCTTAGCACAAGATAAGTGCTATATCCCTTATGTTCAAGGTTATGCATGCCAGAGGGTTGGTACTCATACAGCTCTGATTCAGGCTCCTGCCACTGTGATCGCACCAGTGACCGGCATGGACATTGCCACACGTCAAGCAACAAAACACACATTCTGACATTGAATGTCACATTGATTAGGACGTGCGGCTTTACCGTCGCGTCTTGAGGTTTGGAACACAGTCATTGCCCCGAGCCTTGGTGACACTGGTGCGAGACAAGCGTCAAAGTCAAAGCAATCTCGATTAATGAGTGTTTGATGTTAAGTATAATTGTCTGTACGCGACATGTATGGTAACTATCCCTTTTCTTTTCGGCTTTGTACATTTGCTGTCATACAGGTGCTCTTTGGGAGAGAAGCTCACGTCAAGGAGGCTGCTGAGCACTTGTATCATTTTTTTCGCGGCCACCGCATCCGATCCTTGGCTGGAAAAATGTCAAGCCGCAAGGCATTGGATGTAAGGGGATGCTAGATTTGTCGGGTATCGCTGGCCGGGCCAAGGTGCTCTTTCGCCCCGTCAAGCAGGCAACGGGCGCGCTTCGAAGCCGTTGTTTTGCGAGTCTGGTGATGCGTTTGAGGTCGAGTGGACCACCGCATACGTAGAGACGGTGCTCTTGCAGAATCGGACCCTCTTCTACGGCCTCTGCTTCCTTGCCTGGTGCGAACCATTCAGTATTCCAACAGTTACAAGTCCGTACCAAAGATGCTTTACAGCCGGTCTCATGTGAGGTACCTCTGGAACGTAACTGCACAAGCCTCAGACATTAGCATCCAGAGAAAGCACTGGCTTTCTCATTCTGAGATTTCTGTAGCAGCGGTAAAGTGGCCAGCTCTGGAAGAACGCAACACCGCGCCAAGGTCCAGATGCGCTACGAGAGGGGATCACCCATCAGGGGCTTTTCCCTGGGAGCAACCGCGGGATCTTTGGCTGGTGACTTGGCGGGCAAACGGTACGTAGGACGTCGGACCCGAGAAGCAGGGGCAACGGATCCATGCATCAGCTCATTCGCTGGGTCAGGCAACATGTGGTGCACCAAGATCACAGCAACCCTGGCAGGACCGAACGTTCTTGGGATTCGGACTTGCTCTAAAGCTCTTCTTTCAGTTTGGGTTTCCTTCAGATCAAGGGGCAAAAGGCGAAATTATGCGGTGGCCAATATATTGCTGCAAAGGTTCCCTTAGCTTCCATGCTCGCTTCCTGGTTGGGCTCCGCTTCAAAACCCTGCAAGTACTTGCCAGGGCAGTGCGTGGAGGGAAACTGCCTCCACCTCAGTGCAGCCAGCACATACAGTGATACACGACCCATGCGGTCAAGAGACACAGTCACGTTTACACCTGAAAACGCTCGAATCTTGAGCTTTCTGGATTTCTTAGGCATCGCCTGGAACCACTGGGTCTCCTGGGCTTGCCTTATCGGCGCCATCTTCTTTTCCACAAGCAGCCCGGTCTGGTGCCTTTTTCAGGTTCTGTCAGCAGACTCATGGATTTTTCTGGTGGGCGATTTTTGAGGCCTGGTGAGGTATTTGACAAGCGAAACATAGCGCAACTATGCACATGTTACATTCCAAAAAGGCGCGGTATGGAATGGCCAAGGCAATCTGTACTACATCTCCAGAGGGATGCAGCAACATGAAGCACTTTTCATGGTTACAGAAGCTTGTTCTGCACCTTTAGAACGCGTGTAAGTTCATGATGCAAAATACTTACGGCACATTTTGGAAGCTTGAGTGGCTAAGGTTTACATGGGCTCCAACATCGCCACTAACAGCATCGCGGTCGCAAAGTCATGCATGTTGTACCTTACCTCCGCTTGTGTGAAGTCATTCCAAAGGCGCGTGTGCTTTGAGTTTCCCATCTGCGGCCATAGTTTTGTCTTGCAGGCGCGTGTACTAGGGGATTGATGTCTCAGAGCATATCTGAGCTACTGGATGTTTTCTTTTCAAGAGCGAGTAGTTGCTGGGTTTCCTCTTAAGGCATTTTCCTTCTCTGGCAGCGCTGATTTAAGAAGAGGGGATGGATGATGGAAGTCTTGCCAGCCTTACGCGGACCTGGCGTCACCTACCCCAGACGTCGGGCAGCGCCATGAGACTTTGAAAAGGACAAAAAGACTAATGACATGTTTTTGTCCGTTGAACCAACAAATGACATGCCACGCGTTTTGTTTTTTGCTCCTCGTCGTCTTCGTCGTCGTCGTCGTCGTCGTCGTCGTCGTCGTCGTCGTGGTTGTTGTTGTTGTTGTTGTTGTTGTTGTTGTTGTTGCAAAACCTGCTTTGTAACGTGCGTGTGCATGGCGCATCATGGCGTTTCCCAGTTCCTGGCGTGACTTTGCGGGCTGGCATTGCGGCATGACTTCGTGCAAATTTCGCGTGAGCATACGCAGGTGTGATTTCAACTGGCTTGGAGTGACTTGTGAGTAAGTAGTGCTGAGCCGGGCATACGTAGAGAGCAAAGAGGATCTCGGCCGAGCATGCAACAGAAGAAGAGGGCGTTCATGGAGCGGCATCAGGCTTAAGCGCAATAGTGGTCCTGTCCGAGATGGACAACGCTCCGTGGTGGAAGTTTGCTGGCTACATCGGATGCATTCTGTTCATGATGGCCCCCTTGCCGCAAACAGTCCAGTACTGAACATGAAAAAGCTCCCCAGAGGATCTGAACATGCCTCACCGAGGTGGGCATGGCTTTGCTCACTTCTGGGGAGAAGGCAGCCCCGCAGAACTGTGTGAACATTCACCTCACGCGGTGCGTTCGATAATTTGCAGAACTGCTGGTAATTCCAAAGCTACCTAAGCTTTGCTTATGCTTCAAAAGATTCTACTGTGATTATGCTCATGCCCCTTGGTGCAGCGAGACAGGACGTGGAAGCCAGAGACTTAGACTGCTCGCCATGCGTCGAGCTGGCCGAGGCAAAGCGATCGCTCCATGTCTTTGAGCTATGGGAGTAGTTTCTCAGAATCCAGGCGGTGCTAAGATAATCCTTCCCCTCGAGGGTCCTGATTACCGCCTAAGAGAGCGAAGGAAATTTGAATTCGCTAAGGTGCTGGCATGGGAATTGTGGAGGGGCCCCCCGTCTAGGGGCGGTAGGGAGGTTGAAAACGGTCATAAGCCATGCATTGAGTGCAAGGAGGCTGTTGTAAGGCATGTTTCCCCCTGTACACCTGCTTGCTGACATTCAATTATTGCTGATGTATTGAATTGCGGAGCGGCTTCGAGCAGTCCAAAGCTTCCATGGCAGGTCTCCTTGCAGTCAGGCCACGGCACCAGCGGCCAACGAAGACCCACGGTAAGGCGGGGGGGTGCCAAGGTTTGTTGTTGCATGTGCTCACGCATGCTGCTTGTGGCGCTCGTCCTGCATTGATGGCTGTCCTCTTCATGTTGAAGTGAGCTTTGCGCAGGAGCGCCGATGGTATTTGACAGAGAATGTCTCACTGCTTACGCGGGCGGGGCGGCTTCATGCCAGTCCAATCCTCGCAAACAACACGCGCGCTGGTTGTGCAGTTTTGAGTACTGGGTTCCAGGGTGACCTTCCCAGCTCTTGCAACGGCCCTAAAACACTTACGGACTAGAACTAATCAAGCACGCACTGCAGTTGGCTTTCTTGCACTGCAGCCAGAAGGCAAGAGGAAGGGCTCAGAATGCCCTGGCACAAGCTTCATCAGTCCGCCATGACGGCTGCACTTTGCACACCACGCGCGAGCGCCGGCTCATGAACCATGTTCGTGAGTTGCCGATGCTGCGGACTCTAGAGGAGGTAAAGGGCGTTTGGATTTGGAGTTGTAACTTGACGTGACTGTCTCCGCCACTACTGGCCAACCCGCTCCTCCTCTGGCAGTCCTTCTGCTCTCAAGGCCTCTCACTTGTCGGGCAAAGCCCCTCAAGCAGATGCAAGCCGACCGATTCCCACTGTGAGCAGCTGACAGCGACTGGAGGCAGCCGAGTTAAAGCATAAAGCAGAGGTTTGTGTGGTGGTGAAAGTGCTGGAAGTGGTGCACAGGCGCATTAGCACTGGCCGAGCAGTAGCAGTAGGAGCTGTAAGTGACAGTGGAACAAGAAAAGTAGGAGGACAAGGGCTGCATTACTAGTACTAGAATTAGTTTTCATCCTCGTCCTCGTGATTGTCGTCGTAGTCGTCATCGTCATCGCCGCCAGCGCCGTCGCGGTGGTGCGTCCTTCCTAGTAGCGGTGGCAGTAGCTCATGTTGAGTTGTGGTAGTAGTAGAAGTAGTAGTAGTAGTAGTAGTAGTAGTTTTGGTGGTAGTAGTAGTAGTAGTAGTAGTAGTAGTAGTAGTAAAAAAGCGCCACGAGTGCTCGAGATTGGGGTTGTAGAGCTTGCCATGCCGCTAACGCCTGCTGTGCACGTGACGGTGGTTTTAAGGGAGCGACTTTCTGAATATCTGCATTGTCATTCGGCGTCAGAATCTTCTATTTTGTACGCTGACAAGCTTGGTGCTGCGTACTGGATTGGCACAACTTTGGATCAGATTGTGGAAGACTGCTCCTTCATACTGCCTCCAGACGAATATGCAAGCATCATGGGATTCTGCAAGTTGCATTACCCCTTGGCCTATGCCACCATACCTGCAGGATTTAGGGCGCTGGCCATTGCAGGACTATCCTGTTCTAAGCACGACCCCGCTACAACAGCATGAACAACATCAACACAACGAGTATGCCACCAGCTTCTCCATGAACATGACTCATCAAGGAGGTGGCTACAACATGGAGACAAATTTTGACTCGACCCGGTCCCAATTCCGGGGGCACCACGCAAGCATGGAATTTCCTCAATTATGTGGTGGTGCTGGCGTGAGGGTGGAGCCCCATTCCCAGGGGGGCTCGGGAGGCGCTGAGGCGCCGAAGCTATGGGTGAGCACATCCCTTAGCAACCAAGACGGCTGTACTCGCTCGCGGAAGCGATCGTACCTACGTGCAGTTCGGAGACTCGAAAAAACTGGGCAAACAGATTATAGAGGCAAGAGATTCTTTCAGTTTAGATCAAGGGAGCAAACATCCGGCACGCCTGGAGATAAGTCCGACCAGGGCCGATGCAACTTCTTCACGTGGAACTGCAGTGGGCTATCGCCCGAGATTCTCACTGAGGTGCTGCAGTGGGCAGATGATGCACAGGCTATGTTTTTTGTGTTGCAGGAGACACATTGGCGACACCAGCTTGAATGGCGAGCAGAAGGGTGGCTCTTCATGCATTCTGCAGCGCCCAAGGCTAAATCTGGTGGGGTTTTGTTCGCGGTCCGAGAGAAGATATGTGAGCAGCCATCGCTTCGATGGCGGGAGCTAGTCCCGGGACGCCTGCTGCACGTGAGATTTCAGGCATGGAAGCAGCAGGTGGACGTGCTGGCGGTGTATCAGAAGGTAAAAATTCGAGGCAGCAAGTTAGACCTGGAAAAGAATGTTCGGGATAGAGGCACAGTTTGGGCGCAGCTTCGGAAGTGCCTGGCGTCGCTGCCGGAGAGGGCTTTTGCCATAGTAGCTGGTGACTTCAATACTTCCTTTGCATCAAGCTTGCCAACCACTGGACATAGCGCCATGGGCTCCGTTCAACCTGATGTTTACATGAAGGAAGCAACTGAGGTTCAGTCGCTGCTTGAGCAGGCTGGCATGGTGGTGCTCAACACTTTTGGGCAGCGCAGGGCCACGTTTTATCATCCTGGGGGCAGCCCAATGATAGACTACATCTGCGTGAAAAGAGCCACGGCAGACCGGCAGTCAAAACGGGCCTGTGCAGTTGCTTCGCCAATGGCGGGGTGGCGAAAAGGAGGACATCGACCTGTCCTTGCCAGCTTGGCGCTCGACTGGAGACCATGGATGCGTGCCAAACCGGCTACTCAGATGCACGAGCCCAGGCGTACGGACTCTGCGACCAGTGAGCTGCTCGTCTTGAAAAATGCGGTTCAAAGTTTCGAAGATTCCCAGACCCGCTTCAGAGCTCCCCCTATCCACCGGCCTGTAGGACTGGCAAGACTTTACTGGCAACAAAGAGACCTGCTGCATGCAATGCCGCGTGCCACACTCAGGGATGTGTTCGAGAGGTTCCGGCAGCATGCGCGTGTATCTGCGGCGCAGAAGGAGCTTAGACGACGCGCAAGACAAGCCAAGCGGGATCGAATGTTGGTGGTTCTTGAAGACGCGGAGAGGGCTGCGCTTCATGGCGACTCCAAGCTGCTGCACCAGTGCGTCAGGGCACTGAGCACGGGCAAGCCCAGAGCTCGTATATGCCTGCGGGGGGCTTCCGGTGAGCTTCTTTCCGGGGAAGAAGAGGGGGATGCGCTACAGCTCGGCCCACTCAGCCCCATTGATCCTTCACTGTTGGGAGTAGATGCTTGGCTTCGGGCGCTCAGCTTGGTGAAGGCAGGTAAAGCTGTACCTAGTGGAGAGCCTTCTGTACAAGCATGGAAGGGCGACCTGGTGAAGCATGCCGAAAGGTTAAGTCAGATCTCCATTGATTGTCTGTGCAGGGAAGATCCCTTTGTGCCGTATGATTGGAGTTTGGTCCAAATTGCGTGGCTGCCCAAGCCTGGCAAGCCTCCCTCGGCTCCTCAGAACTTGAGAACCATCGGACTCATTTCTGCGGACAGTAAATCTTTCCTTTTGGTGCTTAGAGAACACATCAGGGATCAGGTTTTGCAGTCATTGTACGACGTGCCGCAGTATGCTTACCGGCCACACATGGACACAAATGACGCAATCCTGCGGGCAGTTCACCATTGTAGCAAAATCCGAGGGATGCTTCAGTCCTCTGTCCGATGCAACACTGCGAGAGTCATCGGAGAGACTCCTCCGGAACTTCGAGGAGGCCTTGATCTTGCGAAGGCGTTTGACTCTGTACCCCATCAGGAGCTGTGTTGCGTGCTTTTGGAGTCCGGTGTCGATGCTGCGCTGGCGCATGTCCTACTACAGGTACACATACAAACGCAATGTTTGATACTTCACTCGAATCAGGGCAAGTGTGTTGGAATGTCACGCGGCCTCAGGCAAGGGTGTCCGGTGGCCCCGATCATGTACGCAGCTTGGACTGGTCGGCTCAGTCGGCAGCTCAATGGGGTTCTTGGAGATGGGTGGTGCCAGAGGCATCTGACGGTTTTTGCTGATGATACCTTGATTTTTTGGTCTGTTCAGTCATGGGCTTCCTTAAGGAAGGCAGTTAAGGAGGCAGGGAAGTTAATGCAACAGCTTTCATTGGATGGTGTGAGCATCAGCTATGAGAAGTCCTCATGTCTACTGGCTCTCTCTGGCACACGGAAGAAGCGGGCCAACCGGTCTTATGTTGACTGGCACCGGGGCCGTGAGTGTCTCTGTGTGTCTGTTGCTTCTTCCCAGGTTCTCATACCCATCGTGGATCAGGTCTCCTACCTCGGTATTCAGCTGTCCTACGGCAGGTTCGAGGCTCAGACCATACAGTATCGCGTTGACAAGGCCACGACTCAGTTCAATGGTTTGACTTCTGTTCTGCGCACCACCAGCAAGTTCAGCAGACAACATCGTATTCGCATATACAAAGCTTGCGTGTGGTCCTCGTTGCGCTATGGGGTACTTGCAGCGGGTCTTACACAGGCGGGGTACAATCAGATCGTGACCACCCTTTGCTTGCAATTACGTAAGGTTCTCAGAGTACACGAGTACGGAGTCTCGAATCAGCAGGTGCTGCAGCAGGCAGATCTCCAGCCCGTAGAATTTTTCAGAGAGCAGGCAGAGCAGTTGTGTGGCAGGATTCTCCAGGACACCGCCCGCTCCCCGGACATTCTCATCATTGAGGCAGAGCAGATCCAGGAGCACTGTCGCGCTGTGAATGCGATATGCGACCTGCAACCACACTCGTCTCTCATTGAGCTTGATCAGATGCACGGAAGCGTTGCGTGTGGTAGATGTGGACTATTGTTTTCAAGCGAGGAAGGGCTCACGATGCACGTCATGCGGA